TTTGTGCATTTGAAATCAGAAATTCTTTGTAAACATTGAGCAGCTCATAAAGGATAAAGATATTTTAATAACAAGAAAATCGTGGATTAAATGCATCAAAATTCCTGATACTGCTGGAAGAATTGTAAAAATTCTGGATTTCGAAATTTTGTCATTTTTGTGTGACAAATGTTTGTCTGATTTAAAAAAAGTGGCGTTTGATTGATAATGCTCATTTTGGCGAGAAAGACAGATTTTTGTAGGAATTTATAATGTCTTTTTTATCCAAAATTTTCACAGTGAGTATCAATATACTGTAGCCCAGTGTTCCCAACCTCTTCGGGTTCAAAGACTGGCAAATTTTAATAAAATATTTTGGGGACCAGCATATATTCATAAAATTTTCTGCAGACTGGCAACGTTCCATTCAATTTTTGATGACCAACAGAACATTTTAAAATACCTGCCATACAGTTTCCAGAACAAAACTTTTATGGCAAAAATTAAGTCAAGAACCTGTCAAGCACCTATAAAGTGGAAATTTGTTTTTAAAATAGGATGCTGGGCTTGAAGAAATGTTTCTCAGGTTAAAAACTGGAATTAATATATTTCAGCAGGTGAAAATAGGTCTGAATTGCTATTAGGAGAAAAACCAACCACTTATTTTTTTATTTTTTCATCACATAATTTCAACTACTGTTGTCTCCAAAATGTTGGATTGAAATATGAGACCATTACAACTTTTAATAAATTCATCATGTGGAAGAAATTTTCCTGCAGACTTCCAAAAAGCTTCTGCAGACTGGCACTGGCCCACAGACCACAGGTGGGGGTTCAGCCAATAACTAGAATATTCAAAAGAAAAGTTCCATTATGGTTACATAAGTTTGCGCTTTGAATTCAAGCAATTCCTTCAGAAATATACAAGAGACAAGAGCATTACTTCAAAAAACAGGAATTCAGTACTGCATTCAAGCTTCCAACTACAAAAATGATGTCACCTGAAAGATTATTCAGCAGTTACACTTCATAAGTACTGTATCTGCTTTTTGGCTTCAGAGCAGCATTCATGGTCAGAATAAGTGCAGATTTGCTTCATAAATAGAAGAGTAATAAGAATCTTATACCCATTAAAAATGACTGCAGCACGCTTGATCACATTTTAAATTCAATTTTATAATTTATCTGGATTCTTAAAGTTCAGAGCATATTTTGAATCCCTATTTATAACTTTATTTAGGATGGTTTCAGGATGAAATCCAATAAAATATCCTGCTTTCTTTCAAAGTTAGCTCCAACAGTTTAAGACTGTTCAAACATTGTTCTACTGTAGTTTATCTTTTTAATATCCACAGACATTGTTTCAGACTTTTTAATCAGAGGTATTTACAACCAACCCAAAAATTTTCAGAAGCAGTGACCATGTTTTCATATAAAACCATTCATATTAAAGTGGCCCGAATTTTAAAAACACGATACAGTATTTTAAGATCATCCCTGAACAACATTTCACAAGGTTCTTTGTTATTCAGAGCAGAATCCCCATCATGGATAAATTCGTAGCTGATGACACATAAAAAATTTTGCTAAAGACAATCGAAATGCGTCCAAAATTCTGACTGAGTACTCTGCTACAAATCTACATTTTTTAAAAGAATTAAAATGGCTTTTCAAAAGTCCTTGGAAGTGCAAAATGTTGAGGGAATACGGATGAGACACTCTTGTCCTTGACGTAGTCAATTCTTTTCACCTTGGTACGAATATCGTCTACTGATGCATGTTTGAAGTTCAATCCTCGTCTCTTTTGTTCCGGAAAAGCTCGGAACTTCGAACGATGGAAACCTTTTGTTATAGGGAAATCACTGCGTAATTATTCTGCGAATTGGAAATATGGAAATTTAACGCTTTGTTCACTCCTTACTTTCCTTTTTCATGCGTTCAGGCTGAACGCAGAAGAATCATCGATTTGCAAGTGCTTTAAAAAAAAAGAAATTCGGTTTTCTGGAAAGCTAGACTATGCCATTTTTTCTAGTTTTCATTCGTAGAGGAAGCATCTTTTCTTTGTCTGGGGTTCCAAACAAACTGGAACATAATTATAAAAGTCTAGTTTCAAAGATGAATTTATGGACACTATATAAGCAGCAGACTTTTTGTTCACATTAAAAGTAATTTCTATTCATATCAAAATAACTAGAAGTGCCTTTTTTCTTTCTTTGATTGTGCAGTCATTATGATCACAGGAAAAAAGTGCATACCTAATAATTCCAGAGAAAAATCAGTCAAATACTCATAAGTTTTTTTTTTGGTCTGACTGCCAAATATCTGAATCCAGTCCAAAAAAGCACCATTGATATGAGCTTACTGTACTGTACTGAGCTTACATGGGAATGTAAGATGGTATACACAAGTTAGGAAATACTTACAAAATTTTTGTTGATAAATTTATCTTGGAGAAAAATGGGACAAGCATACAAGGAAAGTGTATCTGATTTGTGCTAGTTGGTCAATTTCTACAATATTTTGTCTCCCTACAGGATTCTATTTGTGTGGAGAATTTGTGGAAAATTCAGAAAACAGAAAAGAATTTTCTCTTTTGGTATCTCATTTTTAGATGCAAATATATGTACATAATAGTGAGACCCCCCACATGGAGACACCTTGACATCTGGACAATTCAACCAACAGACACTTATTTTCCTTTTAAAAATGCATAAAAAGGGCCCAAAATGTGGACACTGACTTGACATGCAGACATTGTGTGCTAAAATTGGAAATAAGTTTCAGGCAAAATTACAAGAAAAAGATATGTCCAACCTTAAGATCTATGTAAGAAAAGTTCTTGGTCATTTATTGAATAATTTTACCGTCCATTTAGCTAACTTTAAAAATTACCTCCAGCGTAGATGGACTTTTTTCTATATTTTTTTACTTGAATTTTATTTTTATGGAGAAAATCAACATCTGAATGTACTGTACAGAGGTACAGTGATCAATGCTCCAAATATCCTTATTGAGTTGAAAGATATTGATTGAATCAGTTTTGATTGGCAGACCATTTTTCTATTTTTCCACAGAGTTCTTATGCATATTTCATCCATAAAACACCAATTGAAAATTATATAATGTAAGTCAAAGGTAAAATGAGACTTGACCCAGGGACATTTTGACTTTGGGACACACTTGATGCACCAATTACGTCCGCATCTTAGGGTCTCACTGCATTTCTTCTTTTACAAAAACATTTCTGATATTGAAGAAGCTCAACAAATTTCGGATTTCAAAGTACAGTAATTGAATCATGATCCCCCAAAACAAAATTCATTTTTGATACGTGATCAGCTGAGTTGATCGCAACAAGTGCATTCGACTTAATTGGCTTGAAATGGCCTGACTATTGATATGCCCTGAATTTAATCAATGTCCATGGGTTTTTCCTTTCTTCATCATTCCTTCAATGTCTTGATTTCTCTCGCTTTTCCACAGGAATTCATACTTCAGCATAAACTAATCGTAAATAGGTACTCACAAAGTGTAAATAAAAATGAATCTTCATATGTTGACAACTATCCTAAGCTTCATGGATACTTATTTGCTTATGGACGCGGTGATTCCAGATTTGGACGACCCTCAAGAAATATTACCGGTGAGTATATTTTTACTGTATTGTATTGATTCAAGCTTGCTCGTAACACAGGAGAATTGTTCAAAAATTACTCGTGAATTCCGTCAGTAAAATATCTAAATTTCAAACAGTAGACGACGTGGTCCGCGAGAATGCTTGAAAAATTCTTCAAAAAAGACCTGGGTGCAAAATGATCCAAATTGAAGTACTGTAATATATTTCTATAATGATCATATCACATCATGGCTATAAGAAGAGCCTTTCGGATAATCACTCAAAAATTTTGAAAGTATATCATATGATCTCCCATTAAAAAGTACCTGTTAAATAATAAAGGAAGCTTTTTGTGTGGTTCGAATGGCTTATAGTTAATTGTCACATGAGTTTATTACTGTTATTTTACAGTACTATATTTAATAAATTAAGGTTAGTGATCGTAAAAAAATTGACGCAAGAAACAATCACGAAAAATCATGCATCCGAATACCGACGAAAATCATCAATGTTCTTATTTTATTTTTCAAGTAATGGTTTTCTTCTGTCAATGAACTCACATCATTCGGTATTAAAAGAGTTCATTATAACTGTTCCAACAGTTGCCTTTGAAACCGGTTTATCGGTACAAAAAAAAAAAAGAACTTGACACTAATCGTAGAACTATGGAGACTGGACGAGTCATAAGTTGACATAGATTAATATCAAAGGTCACGGGTTTTTTTTTAAATAAATATCCAAGATACTAACTGGAACTCAAAATAACCTGAGTTTCTGAGTTGACATGAAGATAACTCTTCGTCTCGACTCGAATGTTTTATATCCTACGTGACCGGAAAGTATTGACAAATACAAGAAAAATCGATTACACACGAATCACGTTTATTACCTATTTTTCAAGCTCAGCTTTTGAGATGTTGAGGATGTTCTTGAAATAAAAACCGCACTTTTACGAGCTGAACGAGTTCCATCAGACTTTCAGAGATAAAGGTTCACGTGCGATTATTTTTTTTTATGAGCGAAGGGTAAAAAGGTTTCGAAAAATGTATGGCTTCAAAAACAAAACGTTTCCTCGTGCCTGTTTTCCTTTTTTTCTGAACATTTGCTTCTCTTTGTATTTACGAAGAAATTTCTGAATTCCCTTCGAAGAATACAGTATACTCAAAAATCTATGCAATTTTTAAATACAAATCTGTATTTGATTCAATTAAAACTTTGGTGTACTTCAATTAAAGTATTTGTTACTTTTTGCATCCTGAAAGCCACGTGTTACTGCCAAAAGAATTGCTAGTTCGGCGGCGATGAATTCGTTGATGTAAATTCGTGTCAAATAGATTAAAAATAAAGTACGTTATATTGATTGTAAAGTTATGCGTCTTGAGCTTCCCTAACTCAAATTGCTTTGCTTCAAGTCAAGCGTTTCTGTCAATTGGTCAAAGACAATCATGGCAATGCAGTATCTCGTTTTTCCCTCAAAAACATCCGATTATATTCAAGCTTAATTTAATAACTCATCAATAATTCAAAATTACGTTTTACTGCCTCTTTGATGGGTTCATTAATGCAAGTTAAAATGTGTTTTCAACCTTTCAAGAGAGAAATGCCGTTTGTTCAAAATTTAACGAAAAACAAAATACCTTGGAAAAAGCTGAATCAACGCAATGAAATCAAATAATTGGCTTGATTTTCATAGGTAAAGTTATAGCAGAACTGCATCATATTTAATTAAATAAGTACTATACGCTATAATTTTTAAAGAAGCACTTTTTGTTCAGTACATTATGCAAATCAGTGTTCACTGTTCGTAGAAGAAGAAAAATCAGCCCGACTCCATTTTGAATTTTTTTTAATGCATCTGGAGTACTAAAATTACAGAAAAACATCTATTCTTCATTTTCGAAGCTTTTCTTAATGAATTTTTCAGCTATATTGAACGTGAAAGGCCGATTGTATTGGAACAAAAATTTCTGAATATAATCCTGTCATCTGATGTTTTTTTTTCTCGCAGACTTGAAAACATTTTTCAACATTCCAGAAAATGAAATCCAAACGAAGACACGAGAACAATCTGTCATGATTCTCAGAAACATTCTCCATATACAGTATTGTATAATTCAATCTCACGCCTAATTCACTCAGATTATTCTTGTTCATTATTAGAGCAATAAGTTGCATCATTGATCCTCTGCGACATGGATTTAATTGATCGGATTAAAATCGAACAAGCAGCAATAATGATCTTATCTCACCCCCCCTTTCATAAACCGCATTCATGCGCCTTGTTCACAGCCCGACATGAGATGGACAATGTGGGACGACTCTAGAATAACATCAGAGTTCCAGTCCTTGGTCCACGCAACCGGTTGGAAGGAAGAAAGGAACAGCAAAGCCAAACTCATAACCATTCATTCCCTGTGGTCCAAGGCCTACAACAGACGAATTTTCAAAAGCACAGTGAGTATGAAAAAAAAAGAAGATGGAAACAGAATTCTTCCAAAAATACATTTGGATACCCCCAGCCCCAGGAGTTCAGGTACACTTATTGGTTTGGACTGGGGTTGGTTACCCTTTTGCAGAATGGGTTTGGACATTTAGAATAATATTTTTCACGACTGTCAGGTTTACTTTCATTTCCAAGTGAAAGGAATAATTTTAATGTTCAGCCATCCGGATTTGCACATGTTGAAGGACTCAACTCCTGACAGACCAGGATGAGTTGTTCTCTTTGCTGATTTTGTTTGTTTGTTTGTTGGTATTTCACTGTTTGATATGTACAGTGGTACCTCAAATAATGAATGCCCTACAGCAGTGTTCCCCAAATTTTTTAGACCCGAACCATATTTCTGATGGTATGAGAAGCCATATTTCTATGGGTCAATGAGAAGTCAACAGATTTTGTCCTTAACAGCCTGAACCACTTGGCTGAAAATCATGACAACTTCCTTGACCTTGAAATTAAGAGGCTTGGTGATAATCGGCAAGCCTCACAATAAAATTAACACATTGTATTTGGATGCAGTGATGACACTCTGCTTCCAAATGTTTTAGACATGTTTTTCACATGATACAGACTAAAATGCTGAAATTTCGAACGTAATTCTCCAAGTTTTTCTGAAACCAACGAAAAAGAGTTGCGTTAAAATTTGAACAAAATTTTTTCTTCAATATATAAAACAAGTAAACCAATTCTTATCATCGCATATCTTTTTTTGTTTTTGTTTTTCAGCAAAGGATTTTTAATTGCCATGTATGGTAGATAACTTTTTGTTGCACCTTTCCCCGTGGGAAAATCTCATATGCTCCTTCACTCAAGACAAGCTTTGTCCCAAGGCCAGGCGCCTTTGAATTTCCAGCATCATTAAAATTAGAAGGAAAAATTCAAAATTTTCCTGTTGATGTTCTAAGCATTCGCGATTTCTTTCAGATTTTAGCAACATTTTTTCAAGACACAACACAATATAAAGGAAACCTTTTTGGGTCTATAGTCAAAATTTCCCCCTCATTTCATAACTTGCTGAAAATCTGTCAATAAGGGAGTTTAAGAATTGACATTTTCTTGTTGAGTTGAGCATTAAAGTATGTTTCTCATAGCTGGTAAACACTTGAAAAATTTGGAAGACTCTTTTTCATGCAAAAAATGATAAATGCTACACTTATTGATGGTGTCACTTTTCATATCATGCTGTATCTTGAAAAAAAAAGTCTTAAAAACCTTGAAAATAGAAAATGCCTAGAACATCCTGAGAAAATTTTGAAAATTTTAACATCAGCAATTTCATTATGTGTTGTTGCGAAAAAATCCTTCAATAAATATTGGCATCATCAAACAACATGCGAACATCATTAATTCCCTGCTTGATTANCCCCCCCCCCCCTCACCATCACATCAATAATGAACATAATGAATCATGGAGAGATTAAGGATCTTTCCTCAGCGCTTTGTGTGGGCTCCAAGGATTCCCCTATTCTTCCCAAAGTAACTCTTTCTAGTTCCGGTACAGTGCAGGCATATATACAGTATTTTGAAGCAAGCATTGAGTTTTATCATTGTTTTTAAAAAATGAGCTTAGAGTTAATTGCAGTATTTGTACGCTATAGAACATAAATTGTAGCTCCTTTTCTGAAAGCAGTCAACCCCCCACACAACAGATTGCCTCTGATGGAGGCAGTTTTCCCTCCTGTGCAATGGACTAAATCCGCATTGCAGACATCTGTTGGTTTAAAATTAATGATAAAAAGTGAAAAAGTTACTTTTTTTAATGATTGAATTTACATAACAGACATCTCACACAACAGATTAGTCTGCTGCACAGATTAAGTCTGTTTTGCGGGGGTTGGTTGTACTGTATATATAGACACACTGTTATCTATAGGAAGGTGTATTGTCTATCTAATGATCATAATTGTTTGCAGCATAATATTGACTGGAATGTTCATAAGCTGGATTGGATCAATATCAAGCTTTTTTTCAAGGACATTTAAAGGGGTTGCCTTCAAAAATGTTTGTAAGCTGGATCCTTATTGTTTGTAACCCAGGTCAGAAACCATAAAAACAATTTAGAGCTGCATGGAAATTATGCTAGAGACATGTGTTACACCTGAGATTCAGCTGTTCAAGAGAAATGCAAGTACTTTAAAAATTTCTTTACAATTTCTTCAAGTATGTTAAAACTCTTGAAGTTGTCATTCTTAGACTATTATACCTCTTAATCAAAATTTCAAGGCTTTTTGATGAAGGGGATAATCTTCAGCACATTTACTCCTGAAACCCAAGAAGCAAAATGAAAATTATTAGTCCACCCCT